GTTAATAAATGTTCTTAGAATATTTCGAAATTGAAATATTATCAACTTCGAAGATATTATTTGTTACACAATAAGAGGAAAGAATTGTAGGATTTGTAGACAACTGCAATTCACTTACAATCCTGTAAGTGCCAGAAAATTTCCTGTGACTTAAAAGAGCACGTCGTATAATTTTATAAATCTCTATAAATATCATTTTTCCTAAAAATTTACTTTTAGCAGAGATCGTACGGCTCATAGAACCTTAAATGTTAAAACAACCTCGTTACAGTCAACGAATAGCCTTTCTAGAAATATCTGGCGATGCTTTAAAGTTTAAATCATCGACAAAAATACATGGTCAATTTCTTTTTTTTACAGATCGCTAACTACCTCCCGAAGTTGCACATGGATCTTCAAAAATTCGCGGTCGCCTTCGAGGAACTGATGGAAGACGAAACGAGTCCAACGATTTTCGAAGCTCTCAGAGCAACGCAAACCTATCTGATGGAAATGCTGTGCGAAGTAGAGAACATTATTATGGATCTACCACCTATTCGGCTGCCGAAGAGAGTATCGAGGAGTATCATGAGCAGAACAGAAAGGAATCCACTAGACGATACTAGGAGATTAATTAGAGATTGGGGCGTGCTTATGAAGTACAGGGATTATCTTCATGCCTGGAAGCACGTTTTCAATTATTAAATAATGCTAGTACCACTTGACAGCAACAAATTGCGTTGTGGCGCAAGGAACGAGTGACGTGTTGATAAGAATGACAGCGTTAAGGAAAACGTGAATTACATAGGCGTACGGTTCGTAATACTTGTTGGTTGCGATCAAGGAACTGAGGGGTAAAGACGAAACGATGATTAGACATCCCGAGTTGAATTCCTTTGTGATAATCATTCAAAATAATCTGACTATTGCGATAACCAAATCGCATTATATAATTTATTTAATCACGAATTTATTTATTACAATCATCAATCGCTAGAGTTAATATTTATTAAATGATTTATTCATCATTCTCGTTAGATTAGATAATTTATTGTAGAGTATTGATTATTTATTTATTTATTTAAATCAAATTGTACCTTTAAAGCCTGCCTTCTTGGCAAGCAATGTACAGCCAGGATTGACTTGCAATGTTTTAGAACGCGGTTTGTGATAATCTGTTACTCAGATAAATTATGATGCCTTCTTCACAAGTGACTATTATTAGACATCTTGATGAAAGACAATAATTTTGTAATA